TGCAACTCATATACAATTTGGGGATCACATTTAGTTATTCATTTTCCCCATACAAAAGTATATGCCCTTGGTGTAAATGCCTCAATTTAAAATAGTGAAATTGTATCATTTGTGTTTACTTATATATGAATATATTGTATTTCCCTCCCCTCCTCCCCCCAGTAGAATGTCAGCTTCCTATAGATAAGGGATTGTTTTATTTCCGTCTTTGTATCTCTGGAGCCTATTACAGTACCTGGCGCTAGGTACCAGGGGTTAATAAATACTTCTTAATAAAAAATAATAATAATAAAATAAAATAGTGAAATTGCAGCCATACAAAATAAATTGTCCAGGGTTCTTTTTGTATAAGTGTGCTTATAAATGCCTTATCAACCAAAGCAAAAACAAACAAACAAACCAAAAAGACCCCCAAGATGCTGCTGGGTCCCACAAAACTACTAATGTTCCTTAATTGTCAGAGAGGGTGGTCACTAGGACCCCTGTGTTAGCCCCATTGTCCCCACCCCCACAATGCTGTCTACCGATTGTGTTATTCTCTGCACTTAGGAACTCTGCACTCCCCAAAATAAGCACACACACACAGGGACGTGTATCTACACTACCACTAGCCTCACTCTCTGGCCCAGGGGGCTCTTCCTTCCCAACCCCCCAACCCCAGCATGCACGGTGTCCTAGACCACGGGGACCAGTCCCAGCCACCCCTCCTTCAGTGCCGAGCTAGGCCAAGCCTAGCCCAGCTAACCCGTGCCCTCCTCCCCAAGGGAGGCCTCCAAACATTGGTCATTCGCCTCTCCTCCCCTCCCACGTGCAACCCTGGTCCCTCGTGCTTGCTGCCTGACCCTGTCGCCCCGGGAGCAGCACTGGCGCCCGGACCCTCCCCACAGGCCCCTCTGTCCAACATGGGTCCCCTCTCCCCTCTATTCAGCCGCCGAGATGCTCCAGGGGGTCCCTCCCTATGGTCTCCAGATCACATAACCCTAACCCTAAAGGCTGCGTTCAAAGCCCTTCACACCCCGCCTCTGACCCGCACTGGGGGTCCGTTCTTTGATGGGGACACTCCATCCCCTGCCTCCACTCCCTGACAGAGCCTCCCTCCCAGGCCTGCATGGCTGAGGGAAGAAGAGCGAGAAGAAAAGGGTTCCCAAGAGCCCCCCCAAAAAGGAGGCAGGGGGAGAATCAGGAACCAAAAAGAGGAAGCGCTAAGACCAGGCGCACGCGTACATCCCACCCAAACCTACAAACTACGTTTCCCAGAAAGCAGTGCGGACACAGCAGTCACACCCGCCCCTCCCCGGGCTGCCATGGAAACTGCGACGGATGCCGCGGATGCTCTCACGTGACTTCCGCTTCGTCTTCGCAATTTTCCGCCAGCCTCCGCTTCTGTGAGGGCCTGGCTCCAGCGGCTTCCGGTAGGAGTCGCTTCCGACCCCGCAACCCTGCCCAATGCCCTTTGCACCCCTACCTCCACCCCCCCCCTCCGCCAATTAGCGGCGGAGGGTCTGTCCTTAGAACGCTCCGGGGAGGGGCGGAGAGGCCGCTTGGGATGCCCCCCCCATTGAGTACCTTTGTAGCCAATCAGCTGAGCCCACGTGAGTCTCTGTCTCTGTCTCTGTCTCTGTCTCTGTCTCTGTCTC